TATATCTCCTGGGGAGTAAGTATAAAGAAAAGGTCTGAAGAATGAATCATACATTTATAAGTGGATATGAGGAGGAAATAGCAAAGGAAACAAGTGTGGTATTTCAAGAAAGAGGGCATGATCAAATGTGCTAAATGATTCTTATAGGTCAAATAACAATGAAATTTGTCATAAATAGGAACATGGAACTGTGAGAGTGGAATGTTGAAAGCTTGATTTAATGGGTTCAAAAAGAGAGGAAGCAGACAGTAAGGAATTTGGCTATAAAGAGGAGCAAAGAAATGTCTCCTTAGTTACAGCAGGTTATAATGTCAAGGTAAAGTGGTATTGATTTTGTGTTGAAATGTTTAGGATAATATGTTTGCATAAGTAAGGAGATAAATTCTGTTCAGAAGAAAATTTACAAGTGCCAAACTCTCACTACTGTCAAGTCATTTCCGACTCATAGTGACCCCTCCTTGGATTTCCAAGGCATTATCTCTACAGAAGTATATTGCCCAATCTTCCTTCTGAGGAGTGGCTGGTGGATTTGAACCACCAGCCTTCTGGTTAGCAGTCAAATGTCTTAGGCACTACACCACCAGAGCTCCCTTATAGGTGCAATGTCCTTAAATAGGGGAGAAGTATGACAGTAGAGGATTGGGCTTAGATAAGACCAAATACACTGTAATCATTACAGGAAAGGGATAGACTAATAAGTATAGATGCAGAAATACTGGTAAGTAGGGTGATTTGCCATCCCCTGTAATTTTTCCTTTCTCAGTGAAATAAACTAGGCTATTAAAAGGAAAAGGGTGACAAGATTTGTGTGGTTTGAGGGCAGGAGGAGGAGTGAAATAATCATCTATGAAAATTTGGGAATCCTAGAGACTTAATAGGAGCTCTGGTAGCATAGTGACTCAAGACACTTGTCTGCTAACCAGGCGGCTGGCGGTTCAAACCCACCAGCCACTCCTCGGAAGGAAGGTTGGGCAATCCTACTTCCGTAGTGATACTGCCTCGGAAACCCAAGGAGGGGTCGCTATGAGTTGGGGCCGACTCGACGGCACATAACAACAACAACAACAACAATCTTGAGTCAGGAGTTCTGTGGCACAGTGGCTAAAGTGGTCAGCTGCTAATCAAAGGTCAGTGGTTCGAACCCACCAGCTACTCTATATGTGGAGTCTGCTTCTATAGAGGTTACAGCCTTGGAAACCATATGGGACAGTTCTATTCTGTCAGTTCCTACAGGGTTGCTATGAGTCAGAATTGATTCAGTGGCAGTGGGTTTAAGGATTTAACATCAAAGGTCGATTTGACATTAATCATCTTGAATATAAAGTGAGACTACAATGTCGTATGTCTTTCTTCAGGCATATTCAGCTACTCAAGTGTGAAAAAAGCAACTGGTTTGTATTTTTCCAGGGAATAAAATAGGAAGAGGGTTGTAAGGGATGTTAGTTAAATGCAAAGGAATCTAAGTCAGATAAAGAGGAGAGTGAAGACACAAAGGAGTGAAGGATCATGAAAATGTATAAGAGTCAATGGAATAGAACTCCTGGTGTGGTCAAGGAATGCTTAGAGTCAAACTACAACTAGGAGGAAAATAGCTGGAAAAATGATAGTCTAAATCTGCAATTGTGGATTTAACCAAAACCAAACTCACTGCCATCAAGACTATTCTCATTCATAGTGACCTCTGTTGATTTTTTGAGGCTGTAAATCTTTACAGAGTCAACATCCATGGAAGGAGCAGTCAGGAAGTCAAACGTCACATCTCATTGGGCAAACCTGCAAAAGACCTCTTTAAAGTGTTGAGAAGTATAGATGTTACTTTGCAAACTAAGGTGACCCTAACCTAAGCTATGGTATTTTCAATCACCTTATATGCATGTGAAAGCAAGACAATGAACATGGAAGATCCGAAGAAGAATTGATGCCTTTGAATTGATACCATGGACTGCCAGAAGAATCAACAAATCTGTCCTGGAAGAAGTACAGCCAGAATGCTCCTTGGAAGCGAGAATGGCCCAACTTTGTCTCACCTGCTTTGATCATGTTGTCAGAAGGGATCATTCCCTGGAGAAGGATATCATACTTTGCAAAGTAGATGGTAAGCAAAGAAGGGGAAGACCCTCAACAAGATGGGTTGACATTAGCTGAAACCATGGGCTCAAGTATAGCAAGGATGGTGAATATGATGCAGGACCAGGTAGTGTTTTGTTCTGTTATACATAGGGTCGCTATGAGTCAAGTCAACTTGATGGCACCTAAAAACAACAAGGTAGAATTAAGGATGAAGTCTGTGATCATGAAATTCATTTAGAAGATCTGAAAAGCATCTGAACTTATCTGGGACAATTCTGTATGATAAACAGAGAGGATATAGTTCAATGGCATGAACAGAGTGAACAAGCTCAGTATCAAGGAAGACTTGATGAAGGAGATAAATTCAAAATGAGATTGAAGGAAGGAAGTGACAAGAAGATACAGGAAAGAATCATAAGTTCTCAAGGGTGATTACACCAATCTTTAAATTTGCTGAGTAAACCTCTCAGATTTCTTTAGCCTGACGGAATATTTGTAAATAGATTTGAGGTCTCTTGACATAGGAAGAAATTTTATTTTGCTTTTATTTCCTTTTTACTTATATATCAGATTTTAATCTTTTAAAATTTTGTTATTTTGGAAAAGTATAATTGATACTCAAGTACTTTGTAATTAACCAATCTTGAGAAAAGATATTTAGTGATTTTGCGGACTTTGTAGAGGCTTTCTTACATGTGTCTTAGTGTTATGATAATATTTCACTTCTTTTGACTTACAAAGTGTATCATGACTTTAGTATGATTTGGAAAGATTCACAAGTTCCATAAAATCAATTAAGATTTTTTTAAAGGATTAGTCATCTATATAGAAAAAAATCAATATGAATATATGTTAAATAGGAAATGACAATTTCAGATGTCAGAATTACTTGACAACATTGAACTTCTTTCATTAATCATACCTCTTCCTTTGTGTAAGAATGGAAGGTAAGCTCAGACACTCCTTTTCCTAAAGCTGGTAATGCCCTTATTAACTCTGACACTCATCACTCATTGCTATGTTGGTAGAACAAGGAACTCTTAATCTTTCAAGGGGGAAATATATCTACCCCTTCATCTTATCACTTACTTTTATGTGTAGAAAAGATGAAACATTTTTTAAACTTGCTTAGTTTTTATCCTGGCCAGAATATTATTAGTGAACAAGGTACTGTATTTCCTATATCTTATATCCATGGCAGAGCCCTGGGTGATGCAAATGGTTAAGCACTTGGTAAGCCTTGACTACTAGCCAACAGGTTGGACCCCAGGGCACTTTGGAAGGCAGACCTGGTGATCTACTTCCATAAGATTCAGGCTTGAATGCCTTAAGGAGCAGTTCAACTGTGCACACATGGGATCATCATGAATCAGAATCAACTTCTTGGCATCTAACAACAACACACCCATGTCAGTAATTGCTAACCCATCTTGGCACTACTTTTTATAAATTCTGCTGATGTTCTTAGAATCTACTTTTGTTTTTGTGGTTAGGTGCCATCGAGTTGGCTCAGGCTTACACCAACCCTATGTACAACAGAACAAAACACAGCCTGGTTCTGTGCCATCCTCACAATGTTTGCTACGCTTGAGACCATTGTCACAAGTACTATGTCACAATCCATCTCATTGAGAGTCTTCCCCTTTTTTGCTGACCCTCTGCCTTACCCAGCATAATATCCTTCTCCAGGGACTGGTCCCTTCTCGCAACATGATCAAAGTACTTGAGGAAAAGTCTGACCGTTCTGGCTTCTAAGGAGCATTCCAGCTGTAATTCTTCCAAAGGAGATTTGTTCATTCATCTGGTAGTCCATGGTATTTTCAGTATACTTTGCCAACAATTTGAATGCATCAGTTCTTCTGTGGTCTTCCTTATTTATCGTCCAGCTGTCACATGCATATGAAGCTATTGAAGATATCATGGTTTGAGTCAGGTGCACCTTAGTTCTCAAAGTGACATCTTTGCTCATTAATACCTTAAAGAGATCTTTTGCAGCAGATTTCACCAGTGAAGTATGTCATCTGATTTCATGATTGCTGCTTCTATGCATGTTGATCGTGGATCTAAGTAAAATGAAACCCCTGATGACTTCAATCTTTTCTCCATTTATTGCAATGTTGCTTATTGGTCTAGTTGTAAGGATTTTTGTTTTCTTTATATTGAGGTATAATCCATTCTGACGGCTGTAGTCTTTGATCTTCATCAGTAAGTGCTTCAAGTCATCTTCACTTTCAGCAGTCAAGGTTGTATCATCTGCATATTGCAGGTTGTTAATGAATCTTCCTCCAATACTGATGCCACACTCTTACTCATATAGTCCACCTTCTCGGGTTATTTGCTCAGCATACTGATTGAATAAATGTGGTAAAAGGATAAAGCCATGACACACGCCTTTCCTGATTTTAAACCATGCAATATCCCCTTGTTCTGTTTGAGTGACTGCCTCTTGGTCTATGAATAGTTTACTCATGAGCACAACTGAATGTTCTGGAACTCCCAATTTTTACCATATTACCCATAACTTGTTATTAGTCCTTAATAAGTACTGTATGTCAGGTACTGTGCTAAGCATGTTACATATATTACTTTAATTATTACACAACTGGATGAGATTTTGCAATGAGGACACTGAGGAACAAAAAAGTTTAGAAAGTTGCTCAAGGTTATAACAGTTGATAAGCAGTTGAACCAAGATTCAAATACAGTTATACTATTCTCCAAAATGCTTACACTTAACTATTGTATTTTAATTCTTGGCACTAGTGATGAAATGCCATTGCCATCCCTGTGAGATGTTAGACAATTGAGTTAACTTTACATAACAATAAAAACAAAGAAAAGTGAAAAATGACCAATGTGGATTATTTTGCAGAAGTGAAGAAGGCGAACCCTAAAGTGGAGAAGAAGGTGAACCCTAACGTGCCAGAAGAATGTCAGGCAACAAAGAAAAGAAGATTCAAGGAGAGGCTAATAAAGGTAATGAAGCAGTCTCAAGAAATAAATAATTAAAATATCAGAAACTACAACAAAATAGTATGGAAGGATAATTGTGTTAAAATTGATAGCAAATTAGAATAGAGAGAAGCTGTTAAATTTCTCCATAAAGAAATATATATGGTGTTTAGAAAAGGCATAACAACCTGAAAATACAAGCCTATAATGAAAATTCATCAGCTATAATTGTTATGGCAGCACTATAATTATAGGATATGTGCAAATGGTCTGGATAAAAAATTAGGACAATCAAAATATTTATACAGGTATAACATTATAGTAGGCAATTTTAAATTGTTATTATTTCCTTTAATTTTGGGTTTTTTTTAACAGGGAAAATCTTAAATTTAGTTGCCTTATGAGAAAAAAGCATCAAATTCTTCATGACTTTGAGTAAAGAAACATAACTTTGTTCAAATGTCTACATTTTCACTATTATTAAGCACTTTCTTCTTTTTTTCAGCTGTGTTTAACCAAGACACAACTTCATTAACTGATGCTGTAGAGCAAGTTGCAAAGCAACAACAATCACAAACATCAGAAATAGAAAAAAACAAAAAACTTCTCTTCCATTTGCAGGTAACTTATTTCATTCAGTCCTTTAAATGAGTTTTTATTCTCTTTAAGACGATATTAAATTAGTGCCAGGGAAGTTTTTAAGGATACTTAATTTTGAGAGGCGATTTTAAATTCTTCTATTTCATATTTACTCTCTTAATTATTGTTCTCTCTCAGTAAAGTCTAAGTGAGTATTCCAATTTCTTGGAACATTTTATATTACCAATATACAAAGATTCAGCAATGTCATTGTGACTATGATATAAGCATGCAAAACCCAAGAACTACTTAGTAAAATCACCAATAATTATTTTACATCCACTTTTATTTGATGATTTTTTTTTTTCCTAAAATGCTGAACTGAAGGAAGGTTGTGTTCTGTTGGGTGCTTCATAAAGCTTGTTATTAAATATATGGTACGAAAATAGGCTCTGGAGCTAAACTGCTTGGTTTCAAAGGTTAGATTTGCTAATCTAGTTCTGTGATTAATTTGTCTGTGCCTTTGTTTCCTCATTTGTAAAATGGAGATAATAATAAGACCTGTCCCAAAAGTTTTCATGAGATTAAATGAATTAATATTTGTAAATATATGTAAGGTACTTTTGCTGGGAACCTGGTAGACAACACAGGGCCAGATTTTATACATCATCTTTATATATCAGTGAGGAGCTGTGGTGGTGCAGTGGTTAAACCATTTGGCTACTAAAAAAGGTCTGCAGTTGGAACCTACTAGCTGCTCCATGGGAGAAAGATGAGGCAGTCTGCTTCCGTAAAGACTTACAGCAGTTCTACTCTGTCCTAAAAAAGGGTCGCTATGAGTTGGAATTGACTCAATTCAGTGATGTTTTGTTTGGTTTTTGTTTTTATATATCAGTGCAAGAGATATGATGATGATGATACTACCATGATATAGATTTTTTATACTATTTATATTACATTAGTCACTTCTAGGAAAAGATACATCATACAATAACATGGAATACAAAAATAATAATGTCTTAGATTTCCACAAAAAAAAATTTCTGGAAAAGTTCTCAGTTTGCAAATGGTGTCACAGACATTATTTCATTTATATTGAGGACCTACTTTCTACTAAGCATATTGATGGTCATTAGCCTTATTCTTATTTCTCATCATCTATTCAGGGGGAGATGAAGAAGTAAATAATTCCTTACAAAGTAATATTGTCAATGATTGAGGTATAAACACGACATGTTGTTGTTGTTGTTATGTGCCGTCGAGTCGGACCCGACTCATAGCAACCCCTCCTTGGGTTTCCGAGGCAGTATCACTACGGAAGTACATAGATTTAACTTAAAGACAGAGTGATCACAAAGGAACAAGGCAAGGATATCTGCTCTCACTACTTCTATTCAAGATATTACTGGAGTTTGAAGCCTGCATAGTCATGCATGAGGAAAAAAAAAAAAAAAAGGAACTAAGATTGGACAGGAAGAAGTAAAACAGGAAGAAGTTCACAGATGGCATGATCATCTTTCAAAAATCCTAAGGAATCTACAAAACTCTGTTAGGACTAATAAGTAATTTAGAAAGTTTGCAGGATACAATATCAATATATAAAAATCAATTGTATTTCTATACAGTGGCAGAAAAGCAAAATCATTTATAGTAGTATCAAAAATATTTAGTGTCTAGAATCTTAAAAGATTTTAAGTCCCTATGCAAGCTACAGTGATAGGTCCATTCACCTAGAGTAGCAGAAGAAGGAGATTCAGGAATCAGAGGAGGAAATGTTGCCACCATGAAGATCTGCTTCCTATGTCATGAGACCAGAGGAACTGGATGGTGCCTGGCTCCCATTCCTGAATATTTTATCTAAGATTCTATAAAATAATGCTGATCAAATAGCAGTGGTGGAAAATGGAATAGAATTTCAAAATCTCAGTGAAATCCAGATCTTCTGGAGTGATTGAGGCTGGATGAAAACCTGAAACTGTGTATTTTTTAAGTATTGGGCAAAATGGCAGAATAGACAGCTACCCTGACCCACTACAATAAAAAAATTAGAAACCAATTGAAAAAGATACAGATGATACTCCTGGAATCCTGAGCTTTGAAGGGAATGATAAAGACCTGAATTAAATACTACTATTAGAAGAAACTAGTAGAAACCGAGTGGAAGAGATCCTTATTGTACCCATTCCAAAGAAAGGTGATCCAACAGAATGTGGAAATTATCAAATAATATCATCAATATCACATGCAAGTAAAATTTTGCTGAAGATAATTAAAAAATTGTTGCAGCTGTATATTGACAGGGAACTTCTAGAGATGCAAGCTGGATTCAGAAGAGAATGTAGAATGAGGGATATCATTGCTGATGCCACAAGGATCTTGGCTGAAAGCACAGGATACCAGAAAGATGTTTACTTGTTTTTTATTGCCTATGCAAATGCAGTCAACTGTCTGGATCATAACAGATTATGGATAACACTGAAAAGAACTGGAATTCCAGAGCACTTAATTGTGCTCATGAGGAACCTGTACACAGACCAGGAGGCTGTCTTTTGTACAGAACAAGGGGATACTTACTGCACAGTTTAAAATCAGGAAGGGTGTGCATTCAGGTTGTATCCTTTCACCATATTTATTCAATTTGTATGCTGAGCAAATAATCTGAAAAACTGGATTCCATGGAGAAAAACACAGCATCAGGATTGGAGGAAAGATCATTAACAACCTATGATATACAGATGACACAGCCTTGCTTGCTGAAAGTGAAGATGACTTGAAGCACTTACTGATGAAGATTAAAGACTATAATCTGCAGTGCAGATTACACCTCCACATAAAGGAAACAAAATCCTCACAACTGGACCAATAAGTAGCATCACAATAAATGGAGAAAAGATTGAAGTTGTCAAACATTTCATATTACTTGGATCCACAAACAAATCCATGGAAGCAGCAGTCAAGAAATCAGACATCATATTGCACTGGGCAAATCTGCTTCAAAAGACCTCTTTAATGTATTGAAAAGCAAGGATGTCACTTTGAAGACTAAGGTGCACCTAAGTCAAACCAGGGTATTTTCTTTCTTTCTTTTTTTTTTATTAGGATTTGGGTGAAGATTT